AAGACCCCGAGAGCCCGTTGGAGACTCATTCTCTTTATTCCGGGAAAATGAAGCACAAAACTGGACTACGCGATTTAACCGCCAATGTGCGCAGTCTAAGGAATAATCCGGATGTGGTTTAGTTGATTGCCTTAGAGGCCCGTCCAAAACTGATGGCCTACAATGAAATCGGCCCATTCACAGACATTACGGATTCCACAACACGTTTACCACCTCTCCCGATCCCATCGATAAAAAGGGATGGCTGGCGGTGGCGTATTGGTTTATTGGTGGGCTGGCATCAAATGATATATAGTTAAAGCGAGCAGCGGAAGCGACGATGAGTTCGATGCTCTCTGGTGCCTGCTCATGATGGACGGAGTTCTATCACATTTGGTATCGTCTACAGAGGTCCTTCAGGATCCGGAGCCCGCTTGATGGGCTGGAGCAGTGGGAAGGGTGCAGGAAAGGATAGCCTTATCGTTAGGGATTTCAATGCTCCTTCTGTTGGCTGGAATCTGCTTCCTTGTGACCGACCTACAGACTTCTTCGAGGCCGATTTACTCGGGAATATTCTTTGTTGTACTTTGCTTCATCATGTCGCTACACCAACTCGTATTCCACTAGGTCAGACGCAGCACATCCCAGGACTCGTGCTCTCCCCAGCACAAGCGGACAACACGAAACTCTCAGTTCTAGAGCCCATTGGAACAGGTGACTCCTGTATTGTCTCATTCCAGTGGACACCTCGCTTTGATATTCACAGCTCACGAGCCGACCGTCTGAATTTCTGGCGCGCCGATACACTTCGTCTGAAAACGGCCGAAAGCTTTGTCGGTTGGAGTATCCCTGAACACCACAACGTTGACGAAACGGGTAGCACTTTTACTCCAAACTGAAGCTGCTCATTGGAGAGGTCGTCTGCTTCTCCAAAAGGAGTCCCTTCTCCAAAGGCCCTCATAAGGTCGACAACGAATTGAGATCACTGATGAAACGAAGACGTAACCTATGGGATCGCTACAGAATTACGCGACTTGAGCTTGACTACTGTTGCTACGAAACGGTCAGGAATGAATGCAGTATGAAAACCGCGAGAAACGCCAACAGTAGGAGCTGGCATTAGCTGCACTTTCTAGTACAATCTCCAAGGCGTTATTTTCATATCTCAAACGAGGCACCAAAACTGACAGTGGTGCCACAGCCTTGTCTCTCTGTGAGCATTTGGACCTAATTTACGAAGACGTTGAGAAAGTTGGCCTTTTGGCCCAGCAATATTCCTCTGCCTACCCGGCCGAAACGCCACTCACGGATAGCGTTGCGCTCACTCCTCCTTCCCAGTTGGAGCACGTGAATGTTAACATTGATGTTGTCCTGAAACTTCTTTTTGTCCTAGGCCTGCATTCCTCGCCTGGTCCTGATGGTTTATGCCCATGGTTCCTTAAGATCGTGGCTGGGCACATTGCTGCTCTAGCCGTCAAAACTTCCTTCGTTCCTTTGAGCTCAGGAAGCTACCAACCGCTTGGAGTGTGGCAAGCGTTAAGCCTAGTTACGAACGACCGAGCCAACAGAATCAAACCACCTATCGTCCCAACTGCCTGAGTTCAATTTTTTGCAGTCACGGAACGGATACTGAAACGGGCCCTACGCCTTCAACTCGATGAGCTGGAGTTCCTCTCTCAAGGCCAACTTGGTTTCCGTAGTGCGCGTTCATTCATCTCAAATTTGCTGGTGCCTAGGGAAATGGGCAAGATAATTAGATGCCGGTAAGAGTCTGGATGCTGGGTTTGTTGCTTTTAGTAAGACGTTTGTCAAGGTCCATCATGAGGTACTCCTCTATAAACTCTCGGGAAGCGGCGTTGCTGGCAATCTTCTTAATTGGGTCCCCGATTTCCTGGACGGTCGCCCAACGCATGTTAACGGGAATGAAGCGCTTTCCGATCAAGTTCTCATGACCGATGGGGTCCCCAAGGTTCGGTGTCCCCAAGGTTCGGTACTAGGCCCTGAAATCTTCAGTGTTTTATCAGCGGCCTGCCATCCGAACTGCAGACCGACTGCTTACTCGACCCTGGTGATATGAAGCTGTGGATTGAGGTATCCAGTCCGGAAGATGCAGAGCGATTTCAAGCGACACTCGATCTGCTGCATGATCGCTCAATAAATTGGTAGTTGCCCATTTGCTGTTACAAATACGATAGGAGGATCCCATGAGTGTTCTATCTTGAGTGGAACGGTGGGCCAGGAATTGATGAAGGGCTCAGTCCTTGATGAACCTAAAACGGAACACCCGTTTCGCACCTTGGCCACCAGTTAATGCTTACGTTTCCTGCCCTAGCAATCCCTCCTCTGGCAGTCAATTGAAGTAAGCCAAGGATAAGAAGAGAAATCGAAGGCTCAGGCTAAGGAAGTGCACTAGAAATAAGAAAATAATACCAATACATGAAGAAAAGTAAAAGAAAATCGAAGTAGAAGATGCGAGTTACGCAGGAAGATGAACTGGTTTCGTGTTACCACCCAAGAGCGTCAAATTGTCGCTTAAAGCCCCTAAACCGTAGATTCCATGATAACGCTTGCTGGCAGCATGTTACAGCGATCGATGATTCTACGTGACAGCCGGATTTCTTCCCTAATCGGATCGGAACGCGGTTTGTCCAGCTTCAAGGGGTGACCGCGTAGAACAGATAATTATAGCGGGACTGAAGACTCTGAAAAATCTGGACCAACCTTCCCAGTTAAGATACGGTAGGCTAGGACTTGGCCTCCCTTAAGCCTTCGGTAGTTCATTGAATGCATTCCCAAACTAAGTAGACGCGCGGAGTAGGTCCGTCCCCGTAATCCCTTGAACAACCCAGTACCCACTCGTAAAACCTTCGCTAGCTCCATTTTGTCCAGGACGAGGCAGGTCGGACAAGCCTGGAAGCAATTTTCCAGATGGCGATGAACGAAAGCCGAGGACAGTCTCGTAAAGATGCTGCCCGTCAAGACACCAAATGAACGTCGTATTAACCACAACCTTCGGCAACTTCCGCTTGCGTCCTTCTTCCAGTTGTCGCGGAGTGTAAATACGAAGATTGTACGACGCGTAGGTCAGCCTGGTTAGATACACGGGGAGTTCGATCACACCGACTAAGTACTTCGTAGGAAGACAACCTAGTCCAATTCGAAGAACGGAGCACTTTGCCTAATTTATGGACAATAACCATAAAGTAGACCAGTCCAAATGCTTATCCAACGCTCCCAGCATAGCTTCGGACCCCCAAGAACATTGATAATTTTCCGCCGCTTCAGATCATCAGCAAATAGCAGCGATGGCACCTTAAGCTCCGTGGGTCGGTCATTCACATGGATGGAGAACAGCAACGGTCCAAGGACCGAACCCGGCGGCACGCCACTGAAAACAGACTGCCTAAAGGATAGGCCCCTGTCTACACGTGCACACTGTTCTGTACCCTCCATGAATGTAGTCACCCAATGAACGGCGTAGCTAGTTACCCTGAAGGAGGTCAGGTAAGCGCGAGCCTCAAATGGGGTACCTTGTCAAATGCCTTCAAAAGTCGACGAATAGTACATGCAGTACGTGGCCGTTATCCACTGCATCCGCCCAAGTTTCGCGAGCCACCAATAGATTCGTCAGACACGAAAATCCCTTCCGGAATCCGTGTTGTACATTGCTAGGTCGATTAAATCTACTCAGATGACTCTCCAATGAATCTCTCACCAGTTTCTCAAGGAGTTTGATTACTACACTTGTGAGGCTAACTTGTAGTGACCTGGAGATTCCCCTGTTTGGCTGCCGCATGCTGCGTAAACTATTACAAAATCACAAAATTATATTTTCTCGATGTACATAGCAAAATAGCCGTTCGCCTGTTTGAACGTTGTTCGCGTTTGTTTGAGTCACATAGCATCCGCCTTCGAACGGCGCGACGCTCCTCGGCTCCGCGGCCATCTTTGCTCTCCGCGCACGCGACCACACCTTTCCCTAGCTAGCTATCTTTCGGTGCCTTATTTTTAGCACTAGATAGCCTTTCGCCCACTTAATAAATTTTTCCTAGCGTTACGTTTGGTGTTTTCCACTCATCGGAGGTTGGCCTTATTTTCGCGTATTGGTTTTAAAGCGTACCGATCCCGCTTCGCGCTTTAAACTGACCTGTAATTTCTAGGCATACTCCTGTCCGCATTTTTAAAGACAGGACAGATGATAGATTTCCTCCATTCGAAGGCAATGCACAGCTGTCAAGCGATTTCTGAAATAGCCTAGCGGGCGGTCCACATAGCTCCGCAGCCAACTCATGCAACAGCTTTGGGGGAATTACATCAGACCTAGAAGCCTTAGACGGGCTTTGCCCTTGTAACAGCCTACGAACTGCAGTTTCCGTTACAATAAATTCAGATAGTCCTGAACCCTCTGGGATCCTGTAAACCAGCTCAACGCCTGTCAAAGAGGTTTACCTTACAAACGCTGCCGCATACTGCCCACTAAGTACACAGAACTTGTCATAGTCCGTATGCGCATGAGTACCGTCATCACGCATCAATAATCTAATTGACGTGTACGAAACGCAGCGCCTTTTGACATAAACGAAGAATCTTTTTGGATTCTGCGAAACTATGTCCACTAATCCTTTGCCTTCTGAGTTTACTTTTCTCCCTTTCATACTTCACGTAACCTGACCGCCAGGGACGCTAGGGCAGGGTACGTGGGCGTTAATTGGTTGAACAGGATTTGATGCGGTCCTAGTTTTAGGTACATCAGTATTTCAAAGTCCGCCAACTCTTGGTTCAACGACCCGCCGGAGAAGGTACACGCACAGGATAATCCTATCGTTCAAGCCCCGCTTGAACATGAACTTGGACTTGAACAATTATGTGATTCACATGACGTTTGTCAGCAAACATATACCAAAAGACTAGCAGCATATGCGTGTATGCAGTTAATATTGATGACATAAACAATTATGTTATGAACATAATTTCGGCCTCCATTTTCTCATAACACAATTGCGATCTTTGTTTAAACTTGTGGGATTCGTAATTTCCTTCTTCTGTGTCGGCCATATTTTAAATCGCTGGTGTGTTGGACTTTCTGCTTTCGGATGACGTTCATGACGTTGTCTCAGAGAATAGAATTAGAGCGCGGCAAAAAGGTTCCTAATGAGGTCAGTTATCCTATATTTTCGCTATATATCCACAAGATAAGGGAATTGAACTTAGACCATTCGAAGTCTACTTCCATCGATGGTCTTACCGAAGAATACACTAATTTGGAGACCCTCAGCCTCGTTAGCGTTGGATTGGAGTGTTTGGCAGGACTTCCTAAGCTACCATCGTTAAAGACGGTAAGTTTCACTTAACTTCTGATCTTCGCAGCTGACTTTGTCGAATAACGCTATCAAAGGAGGCCTTGATGCGATACTTAACTGCCCCAACTTAGAGCAACTCAACCTGAGCGGTAACAAAATCGAGTCAGTTGACGCGCTTTTGCCGCTGGCGAAGTTATCATCACTGCGTAGTCTGGATCTTTTTAATTGCGATGTCGCTGGCTCTGAGAACTACAGAAAGGCAGTATTTGCGGCGCTACCTAACCTTAAGTACCTGGATGGCTACGATGAGTGAGTGCTCTGTCACAATGACTATCTTTGCTAGAAGCATGGAGTCAGAGCCAGAGTCCGAAGATCACGGTGGGTTACCCAACGGAGACGCTACGGAGGGTAAGTTCGAATATCCTGTGAAGGTTCTTTATTTCGCACGTGCTCTCCCTGCACGCGTAGTAACTGCAGGAGCGTGTAGTATAATGCTCTTAATTTTTACATTATTTGCTTCCGATAGCTGGCTCACGGATACATTTATGAGTTTCGTAGGTTTGTGCAGACCCAGTAAACCCTACTTTTAGGTGGTCCTGCCTCGAGGTCATACGGTAGGGTCATGTTGTGGTCGGTCGGTTCGAAGTGTAGATTACGACTCAGTTTTGGTTTTAGGCCTAGGTGTCCTTAGTCTGGTGGTAACGCTCTTGTCTCGTAATCTTGCGGCGCTGCTTCGAATCCGCGTAGGGGTGGGCGTCGTCGTATACTCTGCGCGGGCGATGGTTTGGTGGCACTGCAGCATGGCACCATTACGGCGTACAGCGAACACGTAATTATTATTACTACGTGAAAGAGACTAGTGTGCTGGAAAACGACCGATGTTGAAGTGAGGGCATAGACGTGGCAGTACCGGGCATAAACGTGTCAGACAGTGGGACAGTTCGGTATTGTTGAATAAAAGCTAAATAACTGCTGCGAGCTAGTGTGCTAAAACTAGTCACCCTACCAGCGAGGCAAGAGCTAATCATCTAAGCGTTTGAAAACCTGTATTGTGTGCTGAGACAAGTTTCAGGCATCGCGTTCAAGGGAAAAACGCTATCGACATTGAAGCTTATTCTTCCACACCAAAGCCGAATATTGCTAGTCATGAGTTTGAACCAGTGCCTTCCTAGACGATTTTTGTAAGCGCGAACGAGTAAGACTTAAAGGTGCTTGTCAGGAAAAATAGGCTAGGATGAGTTCACGAGGCTTACGATATTTCAGTGAGAAAAGTGATAGCTGCAAGGCGCTCTTCGTACGAGGGGTGGAATAGACCCTCCACTTTCTTAGTGGCTCTGCGATGCAAAGCGTTCCTCCAGGCTTCGTCTCGACCACCTTCGCTGACCCCTGGTGGGCATCAGCTAGTCGTTCAAAAATTCAACTGCCTGGGAAGTTGTGTCAGCGCCCGTGGGATTAAAAATGAGGTCACGAACGGTATAGCAAAACCTCGAGGCGTTTTTGCTAACGTTCGCCATTTATGGCGCCGGATCAACACTGTCGGCCTGAAGAGTAGTGTACAGTGCAGCGGTACATTCGACCCTACTGTACGGTTGTGAAACCTGGCCCCTTAGATCAGCAAAAGAGGCTTGTATGCGTTCGACAACTGTTACCTTCGCAATATAGCCCACATCTACGCCATTTCTCGGCCAAGTTGTCGTCTTGGGCAACAGAATTAATCTGACGGGGCATCTACTCAATTTGACCTGTGCTCACGCCACTTACATGTGTAGGTGTGTGTGTATATCCCGTCGACATAACTGTCCACGACCAACTGGACGAGGCAAGTTACGGACCTTGGTATCCGATGACTACAACCTGCGTTATGCACAGGAGACACTGATAAGTGTCGTGAAATCCTGTGCTATGTTGCAAGGGTTGTGTATGACTGACGTAACACGGAAACAGCAAATTCCTCATCCTTGCTACTTAGAGATGTCTGCGTTTTTAATTGCATCATCTCGTTACAACGCAATGGCACAGTAGCACGATCCCCAATTAGCAATGATGAGGACAACAATTGCCCCAATACCGACCTTGCGGGACGCCACTAAGGACAGCTTGTCTAAACGCAAGACTACGCCCCATCCGTACGCAGTTCCCTCTCATCATGGAAAGCAAACCCATTGAAAGGCGCGAACAGATATATCGTAAGATCTCAACTTTAGTGAGAGTCGAAGACGAGGAACAGTGTCAAAGTCCACAAATAGCACGTCTACAGCGTGGCCACTGTCTACCCCTTTCACGATCTACAAGTAGTTTGGTCTGACATGAAGATCCCTTGCTGGATCCATGTTGCGCAACACTAAGGTTGCATCTATTCAGGTGATTCTCCAATGAATGCCTTAACAGCTTTTCCATCAACTTGACTGCTACGCTTGTCGGACTGACAGGCCGGTAGTTCGCAGACAGAGCGCTGTCATTTGCCCTTAAAAATTGGACAGATTATTGCCTCCTTCCATTCCGAAGGTAGGACGCAGCTGTCAAGAGGTATTGAAATCATCAACAGCAGTACATCAGCCGTTTGAACTGATGCTTCGCTGCCATACAACCATGAGGACCTATGAAATAAAGAATAATAAGGGAGAAAACGGGGACTTATCTGAAAACCTTAATGTCCAAGGCAAACATTCAGAGTCAAGGCGCCTACACCTTGTGTAGACAACATACCGTCACAACCAGCTGGCTATCGTGCAAAGATAAGGCGGCATCGGCGAGACAGCTTCCTTTCGGCTTTCACTGCCACGCGTCATAATCAGTCATTACCCCTCAGATAACTCAACACCAAACACACTTTAAACAGGCAATCCGATTAGGAGACGGCAACTGACGTGCCACTGGTGTCTACTGCGAGCCATGTTCTGTAAAGTCTCGAGCCAAGCACAAGGCGAATCACGTGGACTCCAGTCCTGAAGGTGAGAAGGACAAACGGTATCCAGTTTGGTTGTCAGTAGTTTTATTTCCTGCCAAGTCAACTATTCACCTCGAACTTTGCGCCACCATAGTAGACTAAACAATGCCCTCCTAGTTAAGCAGTGACCAGGCATACGTAGCACGTGCCCGATCCAACACAACTTATTCAGTGCTACCTTTTGTTCTAGGGCGCAAGCATGGTTATCATTACCTAACACTCCCCTACGCACATCATCGTTGCGGACACACTGGTGCCATCCGACACCAGCAATGCTTCGCAGACAACGATGATCAATGACTTGAAGGCGCCTCAGATCTTTAGACCGAACGGGCCAAGTTTAACTACCATAGAGCAGAACAGCCCTCACTGTGGCCTTGTATACACGGCCTTTCAGACGAAGGGAAACTCCCTTCTGTTGCCAAAGATGCCGCAGGTTCAAGAATGTAGCTCTGGCTTTTGCAATGCGTGAGCTCACGACAGTTTCTATGCGCCCATGATTGCTGATGCAGCTGGCAAGATAAGTGAATTGATCGACCACTAGTTCTTCGTTAGCAAGCATCAAGAGGTCATCAAGTGGCTGGTGGTTCTGCAGCAACACTTTGCACTTTGAAGGTGCGAATTGCATACCAAATAATGGGACCATTCTGGACAGGCTTTTCAGGGTTGATTGTGCCGCCGCAAAATCATCGAAAAGCAAAACGATATCGTCCGCATAATCTAGGTCAACTAACCTGCACTACAACGCCTACATCGTTGGATTCCGCAAAGGAACACTCCATGATAGAATCCACGACGAAATTGAACAAAAATGGGGAAATCGGACAACCCTGACGAACGCCACTTGTGGTCCGAAAGTTATCCGATAGGACACCGTAGACCCTGACACGGCCTGTAGTGTTCGAGTATAGAGCACGAAGGATGTTCACATATTTCATGGGAACACTTTTCCGCGCAAGTATTTCGAGTAGAATCGATCGATCGACTGAGTCGAACGCACTCTTGAAATCGAGGAACACAGCTATTGTCGATCTGCGGTTTGCGTGGCGCTGCTCTAGCACCTGCCGCAAAGTGAATATATGGTCTATACAGCCACGTCCTGGGCGGAAACCGGCCTGCTCTTCCCTAATCCGAGATTCCCGTTCCGCGGTGAGGCGACGAACGATAATCGAGGCCAGTAATTTTGCCACAACTGGCGTTAGGCTAATACCCCTGTGGTTCGCACAGTCTGTGCGACTGCCCTTCCTGTATATTGCCACTATAATCGATTCACTCCAATTTGCCGGAACACTTCCTTCCAGATAGTTTCAAATAGGGAGGTCAGTGTTTGCAGAGGACCTCACCTCCATCCTTAAATAGTGCAGATGGGAGGGAATCCGGGCCAACGGCACGAAGACGATTGAGGGCTGTGATCGCGTTTCGGACCTCGGCCTCTGACGGGGGCTCTAAACTAACCATCCATGGCTCATCCTGCATCACCTGAGTAGGAACAGATCCCGGAGCAGGGGGCCAGCTGATCTGATCTTCAAAGTGTTCAGCCCAACGATGCGTACGGCGCACCCGCGCTGTCTGAATGTCTCACTAACGCCTGGTTTTCTGGGACCATTGGTGCGGATTAGCTGGAAGAGCTTCCGGTAATTGCCTACTGCTCCTGCCTTCTCCGTTTCTTGAGCACGACTGGTCCACCAGGCTTCCTAGTCAGCACGTAGGCTCTGCTTTAGTTCACGCCTAATAGCCCATCTGATCACATCGTGTTCAGAGCCAGCCTTGGAGGTGCCTTCTAGTTTCTAACAAGTTCTCGGATACCCAGTGACTGGTGCGGTGATGATGGATAGTGCCACAAGCAGGTGCTTCTGTGTCGTGCATGGCGACAGAGTTCCTATTCCACTGAAGCTCAGTGTCATTAGGACAAAACAGCGAGAGTTCGGTATGCAGTGCGTCTTGATAGGCTTGCCTGACCGATGGGCTGAGACAATTCCTCAGATGCCAATCGTAGGGGACGCTTGGTGCGCTTCCCTGTAAAGTTCATGGAGAAACGACAACGTACCAAGGCATTATCAGAGTCGACACAGGTACTCCAGTACGAGCGGCAATCTAGCATGGAACCACGCCATCTGTGACTTATGGCTATGTGGTCAATTTGGGTCCATCGCTGGCCAGCTACAAAAGGACGCCAAGTGGCACTTCAGCGCCCACTGAATCTAAAAGCAATGCTACTAAGAAACAACTGGTGCTCCGCACACAGTAGCAAGAGACGTTCACTGTTGTTAGTCCGTTGGGAGTTAAGCCCATAAGTACCACCCAGATGAGCTTCTAGAGAGCTCGTACGCCCTAATTGTGCGTTCATATCTCCTGCAAATACTATATCTGAACTGGTTGCACTGCGCAGTAGCGCGTACAGTTCGTGATAGGAAGTGTCCTTGACTGCATTAGAACTGCAGTCGGTGGGAGCATAGGCGGA